GATGGCAGTGGGTGATGTGCGTGGAAGGCTGTTGTTGTTGGCGGCGAATCTGTTGGTGGCGGATATGATGTTGGTTGTTTGGGCTGATGGGTGGTGGTTTGGGCGCTGCGGTGGTGATAGTACGGTTTAGGTGTGTTTCTGCCGGTGACGGTGGTTGAGATGCGGCGACGGTGGTGGTGCCGCTGGTATAGGCAGTGGTGAAGTGGTGGTCACAAATGATTTGGTGATAGTCACAAATGATTTGATTGTTTGTGACCAATCATTTGGTCGGTTTGTGACCAATAAACAATTTGTGACCAATGAATTCGATAAGCTGTGACCAGTACAAACTGTGTGACCTAAAAATTATTAATTTGTGACCTAAAAATTATTAATTTGTGACCAATAAATTGATGTTTGTGACCATAAAATAAGTAACGTAACTTATAAATTTTGGGATCTGTGACCGATGAACAAATTGTGACTTTTAAATTTCTAAGTTGTGACCGACGAACAAATTGTGACCTAAGAAAATTTTGAATTGTGACCTAAAAAATTTTGAATTGTGACCAAATTGTATAGATCTGTGACCTTAACATATTCGTCGGAATCGGATCAGTCCTTGGAAAAGTCGTCGGAACGGTCGTCGGAGAAGAGTGGTGACCGAAACGGTCGCCGGAATAGCCCCGGAATTGTAGGGGTGGTGGAGGTGGGGGTGGGTTAATTATTTCATAGTAGAATTAAATATTAATAATAAATTAATTTAATAATTATTATTTCATAATTAAAAATTTAAAGAAATCTGATTTTTGAAATTTAAAACATGTTTTGGTATTTTTGAAATGGGTAAAAGTAAATGCCTTATTTATGTATTCTTCCCAAATTAAAAGCAAGTAATGACTTTTTTGCTTTTAAGAAAAAAAGTTGGAAAAGATGGTATAGGAAATTTGTGAAATTTTTTTGGATTAAATATTTTCTTGAAGACGTAGTAATGCTTATAAAGCAGAAGGCTATCCCCTACTCAAGGATGACTCTTTTTTTTTTCCTCTTTTCTTTTCTTCACGGTGAATTTTTGCTCTTTTCTCTTCGAATTTGATTGCTGCTTTCAAGTTTTTTTGTTTAACAGGATACTTTGGACAATAAATTGTAGTCACCATCTTCGTACATCACTGACTTCCAAAAGCCCCTTGTGTTCTATTTCTTGAATACACAATTATTGATTCTGGATAATGTTTTTCATCACGAGAACTTGTGTTTGAATTGACAATAGTTGAAGCTAAAGAGATTGTTGTACGAGTAAAAAGTTATATATGAGGGCCTTATAATAATTTATTGCTTAAGACCTCAAAAATTTCTAGATCGATCCTGACGAGACAATTCAGGAGTATTAATAACTTAATGCACAAGTGTAGACATAGTTGCTTACCAATGTATTTATATATCTTAAATTGTTCACAAATTTGATTCATTCAATACACGAGAGTCGATACGTCCTGTTTCGATTGCAATGACATTTTGAATTCTTAACCTTTTGGAATATGCGTCCATCGTTCTTGCGTGGATGGATAAGTATGGCCCAAATTTGTGGATGATTTTTCCATTACATTTGCGTGATAATGATCTTGTCGATTAAGAAAGATTTGCATTGTAAGAAAAATTTCTTGTTTTAGAAATTAAAAAAAATATATTTTAAGACAGATAAATCAATTATTTTGAAGTTAAATTTTTCTTAGTCAGATATTTACTATCTTTGAGTGGCTTTTGAAGGCCAGGAGTTTTTGAAAATATTGTGCATTTTTTGTTAGTGATAATCGATTGTGCAATTACTTTGAAAAGTTAGAAAGTAACTAAGGGGTTGTTCTCTTCGTGTTTTAGTTTTTAGTTTTGAATTCATTTTGAGTTTTGTGTTTTGAGTGTCTATTTTGAAATTGCTAAAAACACGTTCTTTTTTCATTTTGAAAAATTGTTTTCAAAAATAAAAAAATGAAATTTTGGCTTGATTTTAACTGAAAACGGTCAAAACGACTTTTTTGACATTTTTCGTTTTCTTTGTACATTTTAAACTCGTTTTTGGAATTTCGTTTCTAAAAATAAGTAAGTAATGTGTTTTCAATATTTTCGAAAATTGAAAATGACCTAAACACAGCAAAAAGAACAAGCCCTAATTTTTCAAATGATTGATGACCAGTTTACTATTGTAACAATAGATTGGGGACTGAGAGCATCTCAAATCCTAGTGTAAAATAAATCTAAATTGTGATTTAAATATTCAAATTGACCAAAAATTTCTCCAATAAAGATATACGAACGAAATGCAAATTGCTTTTTTCGTTAGAAAATGTTAAAAAGAACGTAAATGTATTTTTATTTTTATTTTTACATTCATAAGAGGTGAATTTAGATCTTCACATTGGATCAAAATTTGAATTTAAATCTATCAAATTGTAAATAAGAATACAAAAATAATTTCAAAAATATCAATTTACACTCGATTTTACACCACTATTAAAAATGCTCTAAACATGCAATATTTCCATTTGATTGAAAGCATTGAACACGAATAAAGATAGTCATAAAGTGTTTCACACAGTACTAAACATAAACAAGTAGCGCCCAAAGTAATAATCCGGCGGTTTATCATTCATGATCCACTCAAAAGTAGTGCGAAGACAACTAATTCTAGATAAAATAAATTCAATATTTTGTGTTCAAACAGAAATATTTTCCGTGGGAAGTCTTATCTTGTCTTTTTGGAGAGAACCTTACTTACGATTCTCACAGCGATAGTAAATAAAGTTCACCTTCCACATCAACAAATAGACAGTCTTATCCCGTGTTTACACGTCGAAGGCGTAAACTACTTTTTATATTTATTTTTTTTACCACCATTTCTAGGTCGGTTTGGGACCGGATAAAGTAGGAAAAGTGGATAACGCCGAATCTTAATCTTTGTACATTGCAGATTCTGATAGAATATGTATTTAATGTCCTTGACCTTATCTGCCCAACTTCTTTTTATCCACCTGTCCATATTTTCATGGCCACAATTCCAATTTCTCAACCTATTATAAGTTCTTGATCAAACCTCCTGTAGCCGTAAGCCCGTAATTCCCAGAATTTTTTTTTTATGTAAGTCACAAATATATATAAACTGCTTGGTGGGATATGATCAGAAAGAATCAAGAATTGCATTTCTTGATGAATGTGTAAACGGGGTAGTACGTGTATATTCGCCTGTTGTCTTTCTAGTCGATTTTAGTCCTCGACTTATCCTCAGTTTTCGTGGGCATTGGATAATTTGCTTGAAAATGGAGTCTTTTTTCAATCAAGAAAGCAGCCATGGGATCAAGGGTGATAAAAAAGCACTGGATTCTCTCTCTTCTTCTTCTTCTTCTTCTTCATCCAACTCTATTGATTCTTCAGAATCTGAAGATGTATTTGAAGAAGTAAATTCTTCTGGTTCTTCTTCTTCTTCTCCTACGTGTGAATCTTCAGGATCCAGTTCCTCTTCTTTCCAGCCCCTGCAAGACATGTCCTCTTTACTCCAAGAACTTCCTGTCAAGTAAGTATTTCATTTACTTCGTCTAAAAGTTTTGAGTAATTACGCTAATGGAAAACGCGTCTTAGCTCAACTTTGCTGTACATATGCAGGAGAGGTCTATCGAGGCATTACAATGGAAAATCACAATCTTTTACATCATTATCCAACGTGAGGGCATTGGAAGACCTTGCAAAGCCAGAAAATCCATACAATAAGAAGCTCAAGTCATGCAAAAGCTATGGAGGGTTATTTTTGGAAAGTTGCAGAGAAGAAAACCCTCGTAGGAATAAAAGTTCTTCGAGGCTCATTTCGAAGAGGACTACTGCAAGAGGGTCTTGTTCTTCACTTTTAAGTGGAAAGAGGACTAATTACGGGTTTATTGGAAATAGGCCTCCCCCTGGGATTCCCCCCACCCAATAGATCTGCCAGTTCAAGTAGCTTTGCAAATCAAGGCCCTTTGTTTGCTTAAAGGGTTAAATTCAGTCTATTTTCTCATTTGGACTGCAATATGTATGTGTATATATGGTTCCAATAAAAATTGTTTAGTTTCTAGTATTACTGCTATTATATGTTGTTAGATTTATTTTTTTGTTAAAAAGTTTCTTATGCAAAGGGTTTGAAATGAAAATTTGTTTGATATATTGAAGGATCAAGTGGATATTAATTTGATTTAAGATAAATGTAAAATAATGCTACATTTTTAAGGTTAAAATCTGGGAAAATTTTAGGCCTACTATTCATAAATTTGTAAATCATGTGATTTAAGTCAAATTTTGGGTTAGGGATGATGGGTTGGCTGAGCAGCTTATCGAATCATTTGGTTCGGTTCATGAGTCATTTAGGATCCTATTGAGAAAAGTTTTGTGAACTAAGCTTGAGAAGAAAAGGTTCATTAGTCATTCAGGATCCCTTTTTTTGTCTGGTCACACGCGATCGACTTTACAGATCGATCGGAGAAGAAAAGAGGAGGGGTGGTTGTGGTTGTGGTGGAGGTGGAGGTGCGCATGGCTCGCGATCTGGTGGTTGTATTGCATTGTTTTGGTGGTGGGTTTGTGTTTTATGTGGTGGTGGTTTTGCGTTCCTATGGTGTGTGGTAGTGGTGTGGTGGTCGAGGTGGTTGGGGGTGAGTGTTTGTGACCAATAATTAATTAATTTGTGATAAATAAATAATGTGACCTAGAATTTGTGATTATGACTCACAATTTATTAAGCTATGATCGAGAAATTAATTGTGACAAATTAATTTGATAATTTATAATGATAAATGAGTTGTGGCCAATAAAAATTTTGAATTTGTGATCGATAAATAATTTGTGACCTATAAAATTTTTTATTTGTGATTGAAAAATAAGTTGTGACTGAAAATTAATTTGTGACTAATTAATTTGATATTTTGTGACCATAAAAATAAGTCCTAACTTGTAAAAGTTGTGATTTGTGATCAATAAATAATATGTGATATATTAATTTGATAAATTTATGATTGATGGATAAATTGTGACTATAAATATTTTTACCTATGATCGTGAAATAATTTGTCACCTATAAATTTTTTTATTACAATCAAAAAATAATTCATGACCAATGAATTTATAATTTGTGACCAAATTGTATAAAATTGTGACATTAATATATTTAATTAATAAAATATAGGTTTAATAAATTAGTTTATAAATAAAATTTATAAAAATCTGATTTTGGAAACTTTAAAATTTATTTTTTTAATTTGAAATGTGTCATACTTAGACCTTGTTTGATCTTCATTTTTTTAAAATATATCTTCCTTTTATCTAACTATGCATTTTTCAATAAAATAAAATTAGACACAACTCAAAAAAATTTCCTTCACTTTGAACTGTATATTCTCCATCAATCTATTATTGCAAAAATATATTCTATACTAAAAATATGGTTCAAACATACCTTTAATCTCTTAAATATGAATTTTTCCCTATTAAAAATCACAAATAATGAAAATCAAACAATGGCTTATGATGCTACAAAAAATTGCACCTGGTGAATTTCGAGTTTGACGACTGAGAATGAGTACGAACGTAATCTTACCTGAAACAAAGGTGTCGGGGTGTATCCTCGTCATCCCTCCGATAATTAAGTCAGAGAGAGAAATTGTGCGAAAAGCTTGAGTGCTGGAAATATATGAAAAACGTACCTAAATAATGATCTACGTGGTGTAATTCTATCAGGACTTAGCATCTTTACTTTTATGAATTCTAATTTTGACAAGTGTTGGACTTCCATAAGAAGTCTAATAATTCAATTAGTGTTGTATTTTTCAAGATGTACTCCTCTGGATCTAGGATTCCTAAATTTCAGTAATTGGATAGAGTAATAGTTCTTAAGGGATGAGAACTATTCGTGCTTGAGCATGAATGATGTTGAGAATATGGCTAAGGGAGAAGCTTGAGGACTACCCTCGAGGATAACCTAACATTAATGTCAAGGGTTCTCATCGAAAAGCCTCGAGGTATGCTCGAGGAGTAAAGGAGATAGAGCACATCCATCTCACAGTTGCAAAAAAGAGCATTAGGAGTCCTCGTGCTCGAGGTGTACAGAAATGACGACATCAACTTATATTGCCTAAAATACGAAAGGTTCACAAAGTATTGGATTATTCTTGTTGTACATAATAATGAACATATATTATGTACCCCTAACATTGCTTCAAAGTAGTTGGTGCGTAAGACCTGAAAAAAGTCCAAATAGAAAGCATCCCAAAGTTGACCACTCACCCGTCCGCAAAACAATTACTAAAACGACGTAGTATATGAAACCCATCCGTGCCTCTGCCCCAAATTTCATTTTCTAGTGAAATTCCCTTCTCAAATTAGGTGCTCTTTAGACAAATTTTCTTATCTATTAATTCTTCCCCCGATTCTCATCTTTTCAATCATAAAATTTCCATGGCTAATATGGGTCACCACAATCTTAATGCGAAACTTGTAAGCCCCAATTTTGGATTAGTTAAGTTGATTTTTTGGGTTTTACGTGGATTTTGTGCATTACTGGTTGATTTAATTTCTCAGGTATTGCTAGGAGATATGGGCACCGGTAAATCTAGTCTTGTTATACGCTTTGTCAAAGGCCAATTCCTCGAATTCCAAGTAATAATTTCCTCTTTGTTTTTTCTTTATTAAAATTGACTTTTCTGGGTTGGGGTCGCAATGTGTATTTACGCTATAATGGTCGGTAACCAATTTATTACTACAATGACGATCGAAGTAATAACACTGGTTGATCGTCTAGGAATCGACGATCGGAGCCGCTTTTTTTTCTCAGACGGTGGCGGTCAACAATGCAACGGTGAAGTTCGAGATCTGGGACACTGCCGGGCAGGAAAGGTACCATAGCTTGGCTCCCATGTACTACAGAGGCGCCGTAGCTGCAATAATCGTTTATGACATCACTAGCACGGTATTCATTTAATTCAATTGTGTGTATGTGTGAATTTACTTATATTAATCAATTGTGGAATTTGTATTGTAAGTGTATTAGTGAATTTATATTAGGTCCTGCTTTCTTTTGTGGTAATTCTTTTTCTTGTACACTCCTAATGATTGAATTTGGGGTAGAGGCAGTTCTCTTAAAACTTGTATGAATGTCATGGAACATAAGGCTTGTGGTACCTTTTTCTCTACATGCATGATGCGTGTATGAGGATCACTGGAAAGGGAGCTTCTTAGAATTTTTTTTGGTCTTGAAAAATCTAAATTTTGTGAGGTTTCTAACATGTTCTTTGACCATATATGTAAATGATTTAATTTCATGTTCTGTTTGGTTCACTTGCACGGCTAAGAAGTGGGTGCAAGAATTTTGTTTGTATATTTCAGATTATTTAAGTTCTTGTTCTGTTTTATGAATCAGGATTCTTTTGCCCGGGCAAAGAAGTGGGTGCAAGAACTCCAAAAGCAAGGTGCTTATGCTTTGATATATATTTTAATAAGAAAGCAGAGATTAGTTTTATGAATTCAATATACAGCTCTTATCATCCAAATAACTACAAAGAAAATTTATTCATACAATATTGTTATTCCAGAATGATTGAGAGGGAGAAATAATGTCACTTAATTATTAACTTATTTTAATATTACTTTTCATATATGGCCAAATTAGGCATGTATTCTGTTTGGTTTTGTATGACTTTTATTCAAATAATCACTTGCGTTAGAAAAATGTCACAGTTGCATATCAATTTTTTGGCTGTTGCAGGTAATCCTAACATGGTCATGGCACTTGCTGGGAACAAAGTTGATCTTGAAGATAAGAGGAAAGTGAGTGCAGAAGTAAGTAGTAGATGTCTGGATTTGTTTTTTTACCCTTGCTTTCTAAAATAAAATCGTTCTCACTTTTCCATTTGAATGATACATTTTCATCCATTTGCTGTGGATATCTTTTTTGGGAGTAAATTTGCTATCTATTTTTATGAATCTCCATTTATTTGAATGTAAATTGCTTGAGGTTACATTTAAATCTAAAAAAATATTGGTTTCTTTCTTAAAAGAAAGCCAGTTTATGGTTTCCGATGCAACTATGTTTCAGGAAGCAAATCTATATGCAGAGGAAAATGGTCTATTTTTTGTGGAGACGTCTGCTAAAACTGCTGTTAATGTCAATGAAATATTCTACGAAATAGGTTTGTTTCTTTTCTTCTCTTTGCTTTGTTTATCCTATAATGTTGTACTTAATTGATACCAAAAGTATCTTTCATCTTCAGTTGAATAAAGACAAAGTACTGATGCTATGGTTTACTTAATTGAAATAAAAGCAAAATGTTGGGTTTCTTTTCAAGTTAGAGAATGGGGGGTTGACAATGACAATTGCGTTTTTGTTTCCTGGATGTTTGGGTGACTCAACAAGTCCTCTGTCTTTAATTGAAACTAGTCCATTAGAAAAACTAAATGCTCTCGATTTTTAAGTTATTGTCTGCATTTATCTGTACTTATAGTCTATGGCTAGCCCAGCTATAGTGTTCTCCATGCCAAGATCCTTACTCCCTCTATCTTGTTATGGCATCTTGACTTGAAATGTCACTGGTGTTTGAAAGAAACGGAATTCGTTCAGCATTCACCTTCCTTTTTTTTATTTTTTTCAGCTATGCAAAATTTCAAGATAGTGTTCCTCAAACGTAATTGCAGCCTTGTGCACTGTTGAACTAGTTGTTTGGAATTTTAAATGTTTTAATTCTTACTCCGGTTTTTTAATCTCTGTGGAGTTCCAACGGCTAAATTTTCTAGGTTTATAATTTTTATAATCTAGTATAATCTGAATCATTCGTCGCTTGATATTTATTTATGTAATTCTCTCGGCATGCTTGCTTGTTTATGAAAAGTATTCATACTTCTATGTAATTGCATTATTTACAGCAAAGAGGCTACCTACGGCTCAACCTACTCAAAATCCAGCTGGAATGGTTCTAGTTGATAGACCTGCAGAAGGATCCCGCTCTGCGTCATGCTGTTCTTAAGTATTACCTTCTCTACATTGACACAATCCTTAAATATTCTAAAACATTCTAAATTTTTGCTTGTTTATAATGTAATTACAGAAAATGTGAACCAAAAGTAAGAAGCAAGAGTGGCTAGAATTTTTTGAGAAACATGTATGATGGGACACTGTTGATAGGTATCTTATGCTAGATGGGTCACTCACCAGTAATTAGAAGAGTTTTCGTAGAAGATGCATGTAATTGTATCTATTTAGGATGTAATCATTTCTTCAATATTGGGATTATCAATTTTGCTGCATACAACTGATAATTTGTTACTACCTGAAGTGTATATAGATATATATATATATATATATGCCTACGCAAATATACAAGTTTGCTAACGAATGGCATATTCAGAATGTAGTAAAAGCTCACAAATGTGATGGGTATTATTAGATGGGAAGGTCTAGTTCTATAAGTTGTAATAAAGCTGTCATTGATATCGAATTAGCTCCATAGCTGTAGCTTTGATTTAAATGTGCTCGGGGTTATGGAAGGAGGAAAATATGCTACAATCAGACCACCATGGGCATGTGCAAACCCTGGCCTTTTTTTACACCATTATGTATACACTTCTTATTTCTTCTTTCTTTTTGTAATGCAATTGTGCAATCGCCTTGCTTTGTAAATATACTTCTGGTTTTGATGCTAATGTGCTCTATATTTTTTTTTTTTTTTTTTCAGCTATGCACAATTTCAAGATAGTGTTCCTCAAACGTAATTGCAGTCGCCTTGTGCACTGTTGAACTAGTTGTTTGGAATTTTAAATGTTTTAATTCTTACACCGGTTTCTTTTTAATCTCTGTGGAGTTCCAATGGCTAAATTTTCTAGGTTTATAATTTTTATAATCTAGTATAATCTGAAGCATTCGTCGCTTGATATTTATTTATGTAATTCTCTTGGCATGCTTGCTTGTTTTTGAAAAGTATTCATACTTCTATGTAATTGCATTATTTACAGCAAAGAGGCTACCTACGGCTCAACCTACTCAAAATCCAGCTGGAATGGTTCTAGTTGATAGACCTGCAGAAGGATCCCGCTCTGCGTCGTGCTGTTCTTAAGTATTACCTTCTCTACATTGACACAATCCTTAAATATTCTTAAACATTCTAAATTTTTGCTTGTTTATAATGTAATTACAGAATATCTGATCCAAACGTAAGAAGCAAGAGCGGCTAGAATTTTTTGAGAAACATGTATGATGTGACACTGTTGATAGGTATCTTATGCTAGATGGGTCACTCACCAGTAAATAGAAGAGTTTTCGTAGAAGATGCATGTAATTGTATCTATTTAGGATGTAATCATTTCTTCAATATTGGGATTATCAGTTTTGCTGCATACAACTGATAATTTGTTACTACCTGAAGTGTGTGTGTGTGTGTATATATATATATATATATGCCTACGCAAATATACAAGTTTGTTAGCGAATGGCATATTCAGAATGTAGTAAAAGCTCACAAATGTGATGGGTATTATTAGATGGGAAGGTCTAGTTCTATAAGTTGTAATAAAGCTGTCATTGATATTGAATTAGCTCCATAGCTGTAGCTTTGATTTAAATGTGCTCGGGGCTATGGAAGGAGGAAAATATGCTACAATCAGACCACCATGGACATGTGCAAACCCTGGCCTTTTTTTACACCATTATGTATACACTTCTTATTTCTTCTTTCTTTTTGTAATGCAATTGTGCAATCGCCTTGCTTTGTAAATATGCTTTTGGTTTTGATGCTAATGTGCTCTATATGCTGCAATATTGAGCAGGTTTGTTATCTTCAATGTCATCAAAGAGAAGGTTGACCAGAACTTACAGGTCATGAGTTGCTATTTTACAGAGTATCAATCTTTTGTATCTCTGGTTTGTTGATCTGCTTGTTCTCCAACCTTGTAAATTGGTCGTTGCTATTGCAATTGTATTTCAAGTGCTGACTCATCATTAGTTGTGTATCATGGGGAGACTATAGTATATATAATGTACAAGAATATGGTTGCTTGACCTTGAATTTAGAAAGCTCTGTAAGATCCATAACTCTCTCACTTGTCTTTCTCACACGAACTACACACAATCAGACGTACATATACATACATAAACTGTATTTCAAAACAATCTGTTGAATAAATATCATGCATTATAAACAAATGCAATATGAAAAATTTATGCACCGTGTGGAAATGGTTCCTTATGTCCGAGGAAACCCTCTTTTTTTTTTTTAAAGTCTTGCAGTCATTTATTTGTTGCTCGTGTTTCCTTTTTGTTTGCTTGATTTTGTGCTTGATGTCCCTGCTGGCATTGAAGTCTCTCGATTGGGCAAAGGTAGTTGGTTAGGTAATAGCGTTTTTTGCAAGCATTTCTCTCTTTAAAAGTGGTGTATTTAGGGTGTGTTTGAGCCACATTATTTTGGAAAAATATATTTTGGAATAGTAGATTGATGGAGAATGTGTGGTTGAAAAATGAGGAAAAGTCATTGATGTGATGGAAAATATTATTTTATTGAAGAATGTGTGGTTAAAAATGAGTAGAAGAATGAGGATGAGAATTTTAATGTGGCTCAAACAGGGGCTTAATAATTGTATCTATAAATGTATTTACTGATTTTATGAACATATATCTTTGTACCACACAGGCTTTGTTCATTTGTTCAAATGAACTGAGCATCAACACTGATCTTGGTCATTCAATTCCCCTTAATTTCACATCCTTCTCTCTGATCCTTGAAAAAGTCTCAGGTATTGTGAATGATTACAATGTTGAGATCACTTTTATTCGAATAAGTTGACAATTCCTATTGTGATTTTCCAAGATTTTCGTCGATAATATAAATAGACCTAAGTATGAAATTGAGAGGATTACTAGGGTTTCACTGCCTGCCATCACATATCATAATAGATAGCATCATTTAGTTGAGATTAATTATTGAGCTCCATGACTTTCTTCCAAGCAGGACGACTTGAAATATCTATCCACCAAGAATGCACGCTCTTCCTCTCCTTCACCAGATTTCCCAAACCACCTTCATTCATCAAAAACCTCGTATTGGGAAGGTGACTCAGATCAGCAATTGTAAATGAATCTCCCGCCAGGTATTTGCTCTTCGATAGTCTCTGCTCGTACACGTCCAACACTTTTTCGAGCTTCGTCTTGCAATCCTGAACCACCGACATGTCGGTTCTGACCCCACTTCGTGGCAGCACCATCAGTTGAAGCACCAGATTGTATACTAAAGGGTTGTAGTTTTGAGCTTCCACTTCCAGCCATTGATCGGTTAAGGCTCTTTCTTCCAAAGTGTTTCCCAGGAGATCAATGCTGCTGCTGGCGTATTTCGCTGCGTAGTATCGGATAATTGCCCTAGATTCTGTCGCCAAAAAAATGAAAAAAATAAAAATTGCTCATTTAGCTCAACACTTGAAAGAAACGAAACATATCGAGTTGTATATGGCATTACCAAAAAGTCTGAAATCTCCATCCTCAATGGCAGGAACCTGTCCAAACGGCTGCATGACATGCAACAAAACATAAATAATAAAAATAAATCAATCTTATCGCGTCAAAAAATCTACATTGAAGGTTGTTTGTGACAGATTTTTAGGTAATGTCAAGAACTTCGACTATTTGACATACCTGTCGAAGCAAAAACTTGGGACTCTTTTGCTCGCCAGATTCAAGATCGATCGATACAAGTTCAAACTCGACCCCCAACTCGACAAGGCACGTTAAGACCCTTTGTGGGCAAGCAGCATAAGCTGGACCATACACTTTAACCACCATTCTCTAAAGTCTAAACGATGATATGCTTCCAACTCTACAGGCAAAGTTACTATATATACAACGCATACATCTGCATGGGGGTTGGAACTGGGGGTTGTCACGTGGGAGCTGCCGAGTAAGTGACATTATCGGTTACTCTTGTCAAAATTCAGATGGCCAATTTTTTAAAATTTTTTTATTTTATTTTGAAAGCCATGTTTTCATCTTTGGACTTGAATCAAATCGAACCGACTATCCGTGTACTGAAAACTTTTATCCACCCCTATACACTAGTAATTTGTTTGCAACTTTGGGGTTGGTGGTGGGTGGGTGGATCAACTTGCAAACTAAGCGAAAACAACCCGCCTTTTCAAGGCAAAATAGTTAACTACATTCAAACAATTGTTGTCTGTCATCTTGTCAATTTTTTTGGCAAAATGGGTGTTGCTCTCATGTTAGGGGTAAGCAATGGCAGAGTCAGGGGACCTTAGAAAAATTAATTGGGTTCTCCCTACATGGGTGAGCATTTTAATCGAAATCAAACCTCTCGAACTAAAGTCGAACTGGAATTAAAGGTTCGGGTCCGATTCCATTAAAAATTTAAGAACCAAAATTGAGAATCGAGAATTGATGGTTTCCGACGATTTTGGGTTCTTGAACCGGAACCATCAGTACTCAATCTAGAAATAAATATATCATTTTTTATATATATATATAATTTTATTTTTTTTACAATTTATTCACCCTAAACCAATGAGCCGATGGGGTGAAAATAAAATGATGGGATGGGAAAAGTTTTAACAATGTTGATTGTTATGCTATTTTCAAATAATTGAATTTATATTTTTTAAGTATTTGTAGAATCTAAGGAGCTGTTCTCTTTGTCGTTTTCATCCTATTTTCTATTTTCAATTTTTCAAAACAGTGAAAACACGTTTACTTACCTATTTTCAAAACGAATTTCCAAAAAAGAACTTAAAATTTAGAAAAAAAAAACCCGAAAAAGTCAAAAATGTCGTTTTGGGTGTTTTCAGTTAAAACCAAGCCAAGATTTTCAGAACATGTTTTGGTTGTTTTCAAGTACGCCACCCGCAAAAACCACCGTCATCGTCGCCTGCACCATACCGCCGCGCCGCCAAAACCTCGCTGGCAACCTTGCTACAATAGCAGAAGAAGAAAAAACCGTTGCACACCACCGCCACAGCCACAATCGCGACAGCTCTGCCTTGGTCTTCGGCGCCGACAGCCTTGCGAGGGAGATGAGAGAGAGAGAGAGAGATGACCGAGGATGGGAAGAAGAGAGAAAGACGAGAGAGAAAGGGGTAGAAGAACAAGTTTTCCACTTTTTTATTTTTGAAAATAATTTTTCAAAATGACAAAAAGAACACATTTTCAACAATCTCAAAATGAACACTCAAAACACAAAACTCAAAATGAATTCAAAACTCAAAACTGAAATATGAAGAGAACAATCCCTAATACAGTAATACTTCCTTATTATTGGTTTCTAAACTTTTTTTTTTTTTTTATCTAATTTGGTGTTTATGTTCTATTAAATATAGTATACTATTTGGTGAGATATTTGCAGTAGATTAAGAAAGTGTTGAAATATGTATTTGGTAGTATATTTTATTTATTATATCTATGCTTGATATTTAGAAGCATCTTACTTTTTTTTCAAATATTATGGATAGAACTGAACTCAAAATGGAATTGACTGTTCGTGTTCGAGTTTGGTTTTACTCGAAGTGTAATGGATGGGTTCGAGTATTTAATACCCGGATCGATCTACTCGATGCCCAGACCTAACTCAGATTGACACTTGTTGAGTCTTTAATTTTCATGTCACGTATTATTCAAAGATTATAAGATAAAATAATTATTTTATTTAAAAAGGATAGATAAGCTCGAACCCCACCCCAAGACATAAAGTTAATGTTAGGCAAACGAGAAGGCAAGAGCGATCGCAAGCGTGTAGACTTTGCACCGAACCTTCAAATGTGTACATTTTCCCCCTCTCTACATTTCGACGTCCTTGAGGCCTAAACTCAAACCCCAAACTAACTTCTTAATAAATCATTTGATAACAAGCATGGAAATTACATGAAAAACAAATAAGTTCATGAAAAATATTAATTAAACGTGTTTGATTGATTTAAATTTCAACCTAGAAAAAGTTAGACTTATCCATCTTTTATTAATGAAATAGATGAGAGAATATTTCCTGGAAAATAAAAACTTATCCTTCCTCTGGTTTTTGAAGAAAAATGGTCACGTGACCAACTTTTGGATAATATTTTTCATGAAAAGAATGTTAATCACACCCCAAAAATAGGAACTTGAGTGGAAAAATGACATTTTCCATTAAAAATAAAAAGAGAGAGAGACGAGAGAGAAAGGGGTAGAAGAACAAGTTTTCCACTTTTTTATTTTTGAAAATAATTTTTCAAAATGATAAAAAGAACACATTTTCAACAATCTCAAAATGAATACTCAAAACACAAAATCCAAAAATAAATTCAAAACTTAAAATTGAAATACGAAAAGAACAATCCCCAATACTTATTATTGGTTTCTAAACTTTTTTTCTTTTTTTGGTATCTAATTTGGTGTTTATGTTCTATTAAATATAGTATACTATTTGGTGAGATGTTTGCAGTAGATTAAGAAAGTGTTGAAATATGTGTTTGGTAGTATATTTTATTTATTATATCTATACTTGATATTTAGAAGCATCTTACTTTTTTTTCAAATATTATGGATAGAACTGAACTCAAAATAGAATTGACAGTTCATGTTCGAGTTTGGTTTTACTCGAAGTGTAATGGGTGGTTTCGAGTATTTAATAACTAGATTGATTCACTCGATGCCCAGACCTAACTCAGATTGACACTTGTTGAGTCTTTAATTTTCATGTCACGTATTATTCAAAGATTATAAGAAAAATAATTATTTTATTTAAAAAGGATAGATAAGCTCGAACCCCACCACAAGACATAAAGTTAAGGTTAGGCAAACGAGAAAAAGCAAGAGCGATCGCAAGCGTGTAGACTTTGCACTGAACCTTCAAATGTGTACATTTTCCCCCTCTACATTTCGACGTCCTTAAGGCCTAAACTCAAACCCCAAACTAACTTCTTATTAAATCAATTGATAACAAGCATGGAAATTCCATGAAAAGCAAATAAATTCAAGAAAAATATTAATTAAATGTGTTTGATTGATTTAAATTTCAATCTAGAAAAAGTTAAGACTTATCCATCTTTTATTAGTGAATAGATGAGAGAATATTTCCTGGAAAATAAAAACTTATCCTTCCTAAAAAAAATGCTTTTCTTGTTTTTGAAGAAAAATGGTCACGTGACCAAATTTTGGAAAATAGTTTTAATGAAAAAAATGTTAATCACACCCCAAAAACAGGAATTTGAGTGGGAAAATGACATTTTTTTTTTTTATGGAAAATAAAGCTAATCGAACACATTTGTAGAATTTTATTTTATTTTTTTTCAATTTCCAGCATGGAAAAGTAGAATTTTCCCATTTTTACCCTAAATTCTCACTCACATATTCAAAATAAATAAGCTCACTTTAGGCTTAGTTTCTCATATTTGAATGTAATCTAACATTGACAATTTGCTACACCTTTTAATGAATTCACTACATTGACTGAAGTGAAATCTAATGTACAAAAGTTTGCGATTCCTTTTTTCAACTACATAATTAAAAGGTTATGAAGCAATATCTACATGGTTCCACTCATGCCTTGACAAAAGGAGATGAAGTTCTTGATGGAGGAACCAGAGACTTTGCATATGCAATAGGCAAAGCAAGAATTTTCTTTGGTTTGTTTACATATGCCCTCCTTGTGAAATTGTTGTAGTCATTCACTTCGATTTCATCCAATATTTGGCGATATAAAAGCAACGATGCCCACACCTGCAACAACCGAGACTAGTCATTATAGTGAAAAAAAGCCATCTACCATTTTATGAGAACAAACTTTCATATTAGAAACTCGATATAAAAAGAGAGATTTTTGTTCGTGATCTATGTGCATGAGAAGAAACCCTAATCTCATTTACGAGATCCATTTTAGGTAAAATGAAATCTCAAAACTCGAAGAAGTACATGAGAAATACTTCCACTCGCCCCTGCAGGTTTTTTACTATGAAGACGACAATGATTATAACAGTGATCAGCAGATATAAATAACATCAGCTAGCAGACTGCACAAATGAAAACTTGGCTTGCGTTTAATTGTTTCTGTTGTCGATGGAAGGGGTGAAGAGCCGAGATTCAGTTAACCACCTAGGAATCTTGTGCTTACCGTGCGTCGTGCAAATTTACGTTTAGGCTCAGAATGTCAAATATGTGAGTTTTCTTTTTTATATTTTGATAAAATGAATTTCTATAGTCTCATTAAAGATAGTCATTACTTCAAAGGGAAAACAAAATTATGCAGTATGCATCATAGCACTGAATTGATGTTTTACCGTGTCATAAATGCTGCTTGAAAATATCAATATCTAAATCCTTTTGGCTGTCAATTTTGTTAAAGAGGAAATGCAAATATATGGTATTCATTACATACTTATTTATATGTTCATTTTCCTCTTAAAAAGAGCTTTATCACTTAATATATTATAAGAAACTAAAGTCGATAACTGCTTACCGGCCATCTGCTAGCTGCGCTGAGCTCTGTGACACCTTTCTCTGCGTCGTCAAAGAATTTCCTTGCCCTTGTGATTTGCTTTTTCATAAAATTTCTCCATTTATCGGTTACTTTCCCAGCAAAAATGTCATCATCCAAAAGCCCTGCCTGTGCCAATTCATCCTGCGGCAGGTAGATCCTTCCTCTTCTTGCACTGGAGCAAACAAAAATACAACGAAATTGGTTTAATTATCACGCTACTTCTACAAAAAGAAAGTGTAGTTGGTATGTGATGAAGAGGAGCGTGTATGTAAAGCATGAAATTCACAAATAACAAAAATTCATTAATTCACACAGAATATTGAAAAATTGGGCGGTGATTGAGAAAACTCATTTTCTTATTCAATGGATCCTCCCTCAGCAGACCCTAGTGGAAGCCATTATGTAAATCTAGCTAAAAAATGAAATTGTAAAAGTTACCAGTTTTGACATTTTGAAAATGCTAATAATCTTCGAAATACAGCTATATGCTTACTCTTCTCCAACATCCCTGAGTATGTTCGTCAGCTGATTTGCAATCCCCAATGCCAAAGCAGCATTATAAACACTCTCGGTAGTTGCCTGGGATTCGGGTGCAATTCCCATTACTGGAACACTCATTAATCCGACAGTACCAGCGACATAATAACAGTATAGATAAAGCTCGTCGAAGTTTTTGTATCTTGATTTCCAGAGATCCATCCGCATTCCTTCAATCATATCTCTGAACGGCTGGAAGAGAACACGATGAATCAGAATAAAGAGTATCACAGAGAGCAATACAACCTATTCAGAAGGTCTAGATGATATATAGGATGGTTGTAGAAAGACTTGATGCTTAAAATTACGCAGCCAAAACAAATAGAAATTCAGAGTTTAGAGTCAAAATCAACAGGAAGTTTTTAAAATACATAATGTTTAGATTACACAGGAATCTACACCATTAAGGGAAAAAAGCAAAAAAAACTTATATGTTGTAGTGTACAGTCTACTATTGCGTATCAAACATGCAGGCAACATTTTAATTTAAGTGCCTTGAATCAGTTGGTTTTCATGATTTGCCAAAAGACTACAAGCAGCTTCAAATGAACAGAAATTACTGAGATGAAACCACATAATTTTAAAACAATGGGAGAGCAGCTTATTCTAACCTGAATGTCGACAGGAAACTTGGAAACTGTATCTGATAAAGCAGCATCAAGCATGTCAAAAGGCCGCCCTCGGAAAACATCTTCCAGCCTCGCCTCCCAACGATTCAATGCTTCAGGTGTCATATGTGACGCGTTTGGTCCATCAACAAGCTCGTCTGTTCTCCTACACCACACTGTTTAAATGGAAAAGGTACGTGCATGTGAGAGGAAAACTTCTTTATGAACTGAATCCAATTATGCGTGGTCATGAGGCTTTGCTACACCACACTGTTTAAATGGAAAAAGTATGTGCATGTGAGAGGAAAACTTCTTTATGAACTGAATCCAATTATTCGTGGTCATGAGGCTTATTCTAGTCATACTTTATTCCAAAATCTAAAGAAGAGGTTAAAGTAAAGAAATAAATAAATAACCTCCTTTTCCAATCAAATACGTGCAAGTCACAAGCAACTGAATGTTAGCAAGTGTTATGACTCAATTATGACTGTTACAAGAAGAATAACAGTGTTCATTTTTCTTAAACGGTTATTATCAAATTGTCCCAAGAATTTCAGGCAGATTATTGATTTTGTGCTCCTATTAAAGTCAAAATCAGCATTAACCTTCGAGGTTATAGGGCAGCTAGTCAACTGGTAAAATAAAGGAACAAAAGAATGCAAAAACTCCTCTCCCAGGAGGGCCAAGGCAGTTTTATTGGCTGCAAGATGGAGAATATAAACTTCTTTAATTTTATACCATAAATTTAAAGGATCAATAAGTTCCTGAACTTCCATATCTGTTTATCATTTCCCTTTCGTTTTTCCCGTCTAAGGAATTCTATTCTGTGAATGAAAAGAAGCATGAAAGCACTCCACGGTCGAAGAAAATTCTTGCAAGTGGATAGACCATACAGAGAATCTTCAACAGATTAATTCTATATCACATACATAATCAAAAGCAGCCACATACATAATAATTCATAAAACAAATTATCATTTTAGAGCGCTACTTACAGGCATAGAGATAGTGTCAATACACAATGTAATTTGGAAGTACAAATTCAGCTTGTGATATGATATTAACTGAGGCAATCAAACGCCTAAGCCAAAAAAGATTTGATAAAATCTTCCCAAGATAATGAACAACATATTCATACTTTAATAGATTAAGATCTCGGAGTCAGTGGAAATCCAACCTTCCACTTTAATGCAGAATCATTGGCAATCTAATTTAATATCTGTATTTTTCAGTTAGGCATGAATAAATATCATATAATCCACATTTGCCCCAACATTTTCTTTCCATAATGACCCAATTTTTGTTTAGTAAAATGAATCATGAACTTTTCTACCAACAATAAATAACATATATGCTAATTACCATCCATCGCCAAAAACCATTTGAACAGAAACAGCAAATTTGTAACTAGACACAATCTGCTAACTAAAACTGGACTAAATATATGCTTTCACATTAAAAGTTATGTTATGTGCTATTAGCCGTAGACACTCACCATAGATAGCCCAAATAGCTCTTCGCCTCTCGGGAGTCATCAACAAGGTGCCTGAAAAGAATCAAAAGCAGATTAGGTTTTCTTTTGTATATTACATATTGTAGCTTAAAAATCCCGAGAAATACCTCGACTAAATTATTGTCAATTAAAGAAACAAAGATTAAGAAGGCTAACCCAAGTAAAATGTCTTGGCATACTCGGCACATACTTCACCACAACGATCATATGCTTCGCTCAACAAGCTAAGAGAACCTGGAAGAACAATATCCGGCTTTACTTCCAAATTGTCATTGGATCTCAACTGCCTCTTAACCAAGGCCGCCTGTTTCAAAACCACATCATAAACTTTCTGTTCTGAGGTTGGTGTCATTTCTCCAGCTGGGCTAGCTACCATACTTGATATGACAGAAAGATTTCTTCCATCCCCTGAATTCGACTCGCCCAAGCAAGAATACCTTGAATCTACATTAAGATAACTTAAATTCCGGGTATATTTTCTGCCCTTGCAGAATCTGCCATTGCAAATCAAGTTCTTACCCTGAGAAATGGGCCAGGATGAGTCTAGATTCCGGTTACCCTCCCGGACAGACTCCAAGAATCCGATGCTACCAGAAACCTCAGAAGTGGGAGAAATAACCCAAAACAAAGCAACAGACATGCTGGTACTGAACTATTAATGGTCTAAACAATGCTAAGATTTTGTCCTCCTTTCTGTTATCTTCTTTACTTGACTTTATTAAAAAATTAGCACTCAAATCTATCCACTCTGAACCCTCCACTTCACTTTTGATGAAAAATAATTAAAAAATCCCAGCAAAAAAAATAAAATCAAAACAACTTCTACTAGTCAAATAGAGGTCTTGAGATCTTGAACAGCAACTCTAACCTTTATGCGATTTCTGCAATATGAATGAACCAATTAAACACACTTGAACCATTTCAAATCCCATTCAAAAAACCAAGAAACTGTTCAAGAATTGTAGCAAAAATAATATAAGTTCTGGATTAATGGTCATCACACTCAAAATCATAATGGGCACTTTCTAAATTTAGTCAAATTCACTATAATAACCCACTTTTCTGCTGTTCATACACTCAAAAGCTATCTTCAAATAGCATCACCAAAATTTCATGAAATAAAAATTATAATCAATAATAAAGAAAGAAACCTACCTACTTATTGATTTCAACCAGTCAGAGAAGCCTGAAGAAACTAACGATGGCCAACCTCTGTTCGATAACTTCAAGAAAATCTTCAAAGCACCATAATTCTCTTAGTGCTGCTTTTTTTTCCTTCCTGCTTAATATTTTTCACTTATTTTTGCTTTTGGGTTTCACAGTCTTTTTATATGAAATCACTTATTTCTTGTTCTCATGTGCTCATGGGAATTGAGTGATTCACATTCTCACAGTATTTTTCGGGGATTTCTAAAATCCCAAAAATTCTTGAGTAATATTATTCATTCTTAATGAGGTTAAAAATATAGTTTAGGTGACATTTATATTGTCTAAATTGGCTTCCATAAAATGGTCCCACCAATGCCAGTGACATACTCACATTCTTGGTTTATTTTGTATAATCAGGGTATCTAATTTCGGCAGATTCCAATGTATTTTAACAATATTCATAATCTGCTTACAAATTTTAATTTCATTTGATAATACAAGTTAAAAATGGTTTTTGATTAATACAAATTTCGATCGTTTCCAAGGTAGCAAATTCTTAATTTAGAATTGCACTCTTCCTTGTAATGTGAAGTGTTTTTTTTTTTTTTTTTTTCGCATGAAACATATATTTCTTGACATGCATAAATTTATTGATGCGTCATATTCAATTTTTCGTAGGATAACAAATATGATTCTGTTCCAAATAATTAAAGGGTGGCGCCGTGACAATGTAATACTACTTTTTGTGTTAAAAAGAACGAGGAAAGATAATAATTCGACCTTCTTTTCATTTATATTTTCTTACATCTTTATTGAATTACGACAAAATAAATATGGTATAATTTGATGATTGATTTGTATGACTATTGAGGAACTTATTTTTGTTGATTTCTTTTATTTTAATCGATTTTTTATTTTATTTTATTTTTGTTCGTACCTTAAATTCACATTACCAACCAAACACCTTCCAATCTCGTACGTGTAAACAACTACCACCTAAAATTTTCCTGTTGTTTATTTATCTTCACAATGCAACAAATATATGGCCCCAAAAAATTCTTAAATTTCAAACCAATGTAAACCACATAATTATAAGCGTGGATAAGTGAAGCATCCACTTGCGAATTGAACACTTGCGTTGAATAGCAATTTTTTTCATAAAATTAGGTCCAAGCATTAGGAACTATTTCATAAGACTTTTGAAAAGTCAAAATTTACTTCTGAGATTAAGAAATTACTTTTGAATTTATTGGGATAATTTTTTAAAGTACTTTATTTGACAAGAAGAACTTTCAGAAAAAAAAAGTCGAACTTTTTTAGAAAGAAAGCGCTTTTAAACTTATTTAGATAATCTCTTGAAGTACTTTATCTGATAAGAAGAATTTTTAGAAAAAAAATTGATTTCACGTAACTTTTTCAATGAACCATTCTACAAAAAACAGAGACAAAAATCTTATCAAACGAACATTAGCCCTTGTTTGGCCCCCATTTTGGAGTCTCGAAAATTTTTGGAATAGTGATTGGTGGGAGAATGTGTGGTAGAAAAATAATGAAAAGTTTTAGATTTGTGTGTAATATTATTTTATTTGATGAATCTGTAGTTGAAATGAAGAGAGAAAAAATTAATGTAATGTAGTGGAAAAAAATGGAGGCCAAACGGGTGGTATGATAAGTACTTATTTTCATCATTATAATTGTCCAATAGCATACTCTCAAATGCGAAAATGGATTTTTTTTTTTTCTTTATTTATTTTTTTTTTGAAAAGAGACTCATCTATACGACTATACCCTCATTTTCCACGTAATTGACTAAGAACTTAAGACCACCGAATCACGAAATCAATGTCAAATATATTATCGTGATTAAGAAATTTTGCATTACGAGCTTATAATTAATTAAGTGGGGAGGATATACCTGTTTGACACGTGTATCAACTGTCCAATCGGTGGACGATAACGTTATCAAAATAAAGTGCAAGGGGATTGTAAACGTGTCATACATTTATTGGTTCAGGGGATTTGTGGTAATGGGCCCTTCGAAGTGCCTAGTAAAGACTAAAGACTAGTGGTGTTTGTCTAGACAGCAGACAAATACACTCGTGTCTCTGGGTGGGCAAAAGCGTGTAGGTCCAAATTACAATTTTAAAATGCCAAATTTGTTAGTAGAAATAATAATAATAATAATAATAATAATAATAATTTTTTAGAAATTAAAATAATAATAATAATTTTTTTTTGTCATTCATATTATAATATAAGCAAAAATAAACATCAAATACAATAGTTTGACAAAATGTTTTGTCCCTTTATTCAAAGCACGCTAACACAGAATATTTGGATATAAATTATAATGAAAGACAATTGTTCGTCTAAAATTATTAGTAACTTTAAGGATGAACGGTAGTAGGATTGAAATTAATAATAACTATTTAGGAAATACGAATAGAGCAATGTGAGCTAATTAGTTGGAATGTTCATGAATGCAAAGCAAAAAGTTTGACATAAAAGTGTAACAATGAGCAAAAGTTGAGGACCTTCATTGCATTTAAAATATAGCACTACAAATAAAAATTGTGGTATGAATATAGGTACCCAATTATTTATGGTTGTCTCTAATTGTACTGATGGTCGCTCAGACTCAATTGTAATTAGATCGCAAAACTTCAATTTGGAGCAATTAGGTTGATCGATTTTTATTTAACGTCAATTAAATCGCTCTATTTGAATACCGTTGGACGACGTAACGAATTTGATGACATATCATTCAAGATTGGCAAATTTACCACATCTTCATCTAGACATCAATTTTTGACATGTCAACTCTATCACAAGCATCACTTCAATGTTTTTCACTTCCTTTTAAAAAAAAAAATCTATCAAAACTCAAAATTTCATTCGCAAAGTTCATCCAACCGTTAGGAAAGAAAGTAAAAAAATTCTAGGTTTGCTTTCATTTCTAAAATCAGCGTTACAATTAATTAAAAATTCACCCTTTGTTGAGTGGACAATGCTACATGTACATCCACTTTTTTACATAATCTTTCACCTACACTCACAATAGGGTGTGGAGACCACACATTTAGGAATTTTTAATTTATGTGGGCCCCACGCGCATGTGAGATAGCATAACATTTTCGATACAAATGAAATTGTCCTTGTTGAGTCGACTTCAAATATGGAAGCAACGAAGAATTCTTTTCTTCCATTTTCCCCACAATGGTCGAGTGAATTTTTGAGAATTTGCCGAATAAGATGAAGATGGAGTACATTAATTAGTTTTAATTAACCTGTCAAAAAATTGTAACGTCGTTTGATTGGGCCCAAATAGATCGTGTTAATTGTCAAATTAAAGTTACGAGATTCAATTACCACATAATCAGATAATCGTCCGAACTTTAGATGAATAACATTACAATCATGCTATACAAACATGTTCAATGACAGAGATTAAAAATAGGGAGACACGTGGCGCAACATCATTAGACAATTTGAAAAAAAAAAAAAAAAAAAACTTAGTCACACAGATACTGCCGACGCAGGA